TCCTTGTCGAGAGGCAGGCACCTAACCTCTAGTGACTAAGACAAGGTCATAGCGAGCACGTGTTACTGTCATAGCTGCCGAAATGGGGGGCTGGTCCCTTCATTCCCCCATTTTCTTTTTTGTAAATTCCAATCATGGAATTGCTGTATCTCTAGCACCCCCATCAGGGAGTGAGAGATATTGGCATCCCCATGCACGGGAGTCCCTCCTGACTTAGCATTTTAACCAGGGAAAATGGAAGACGTATTCTTTCCCATGCTACTTCCTGCTGACTTTGGGAGGCAGTTAGGGACCCAAGAAGGCTGAAATGCTAGTCAAAAGCAAAAAGGGAATTTAGGCAATGGGGAAACAGCTGGTTGGCAGACTCTGTTGCAGAGACAGGGGGTGTCCACATCAGCTGGACTGGTTCACATCCACAGCAAGTCCAGGGCTCGCAGTCTACTTAGAACAGCCTGTAGTCAGCAACTGATACTCAGATGTCTGCCAGAAGCAGAAACCTGTTTAGGACAGGTTTAAACTTGGAACAGAAGTTAAAACTTATTTATTGAAACCCACAGTGCAGAAAAAGCAGATATCTGCATATCTGTTCAAACAGCAGGAACATATTTATAACTTTGAGTCCTAGCAAAAACTACAGATTTGGGCTATAAGCATGTACATTTTTCTTCTGTCCAGAGAGCCAGGTATGGATTGGACAGAGGTGCCTTTGGTCTGATGAAAAGCCCTTTAAGTTTGTACTTAGATGACAACCAAAATAAACCTAAAAACTTTGAGCTTGTGACTGAACAGTAGGTAGTCACTACTTTAGCAGCTACTAAGCCGACTATCGTCTATAGTGGATCTGACGACCTGATGCTGTCAAGCTGACAACCATTAATACTTTCAGAGATCTGAGAAGGGCATACTTTATACAGTTTCCAAATCTATTAAAAAGTGACAGGAGCCAGTTAGAAGCCGGTTCATACACAGTTAGCCATACCCAAGTCTCTCCATTACCGTTGGAGGCAGATGTCTCAAAGAACAGCAATCTTCGCCAGGCCTATAAAGAGAGGTTTTTTTTTTCTCTCTCTGTGGAAGAGGGACATGGAAAAGACTGACCTTGTTTTGTCTAGGCAAAGGGAGTGCAATCAATTTTCCAGTGTCCAGCAGCTTTGTCCACAGTCTTGGTCAGGTCCCGGCGGGCAGCAGGTATCACATCTGAGCATCTCGCTCACTGGTCCAGGTGCAGGAACTGGGGTGCCTCATAATCTTCTTTGGAGACTTTGGGTCACTGTCAGGATCTGGCAGTCTGATATTATAAACTTTTAAAATAACATTTAAATGCCATATTCTGCAGGTCTCTGAAGCATTAGATATCTGTCTGTCTGTTTTAGTTACTTGCCTTAAGCACATAGGTGGCTAGGTTAAATCCTTATTTCTGTAATTAATTTTTAGTCTGACTGTAACTGGTTTTAACTTAGTAAAATATTTGGAACTTAGCACAGTTGAATTTAAAACTGCATAGAGTTACCTTATATTCCTTAAACAGTAGCTACATGTACACATTTTAGCTGCTTGCTTAAGCTTAACTTCGGAAAACATAAACTATATTAATTTGTATTTTTAACATTTTAGATTCGCAGCTTTTATAAAACAAGAACTTTACATTGTCAGGCTTTGATTAAAAATGATTCTAAATTGAAACATTAATAAAAACATTTAAAAGCACAAACATTAGTGCCTTTCTGTAATATATAGAAGCATGAACATTTTAAATCTTAATTGAAAAACTTGTTTATAAGATGGTACCTCCTAATTTCCATGTGGTCACCTTTAGTCAAGATGGCGGTTCAAGTATCTTTTTTCAACTTCAGCAAAATGGCTGCCAGCCGGTCACGTGACCGGCTTGGCATGTGACTGACTGCAAAATGGCGGTGACCTGCACCATTTGTTTTAGCTACATGCTTGTAACAGAACTTAGGTTATGCCAGGGAACAGATAGAACATTTTAAGACAAGCATACATAAATTACTTGAGAAATAAACATAACTTTTTAAACAGAATTAACTTAATATGGTTAAAATTTTAACTTATGTTACCAGTTTTTAAAATTTACTATTTCTAGACATGAGAAACTATAGTTTACATTTTTCTCTGACTTTTAACAACCTTTTCTCTGACCTTTGACAACTTTCCTCTGATCTTCTACGACTTTCTTTGACCTTCTATAACTCTCTATGTACCTTCAGTTCATTCCTCTGATTTCCTTAGACATTCTTTAGATAAATTTCTCTTTCCCTTTCCTTCCCTCTTTATACTTTAGTCTCCTACATTTTTTTTTCTCATTTCTCAGTCAACATAAAAACTCTAACCAAAGTTCTTCTTATAGTTTTTAATAACTTTAGGGCCATTTCTTTAGAACGCCTGGATCAAGCCAGATGGTTCGCCTGTCCCAGCTCCATGTGCTCAGGGCAGAGACCTGGGGCGGGTGCTGCTGGTAATCCAGACCCTCTGACCCCTGCGGTTTCCCTGCACACCACATGCGTGGAACACGGAGAAGACTGGGCAAATGGTGGCCTTGCAAACCACGTGCTCAGGGCAGGGAAACTCCTGCTGCAAGCCATGACCCATGGCAGGATGGCGGTTGGGGCAGAGAGAGCGCCCCACTTTGCATGCCTCACAGACGGGCAGGTGAGGATGGAGAGATAAACTCGCCTGCACCGGCCAGGCTCAGCTGTGAGGGCTGCAGCAGTGGTTGGAGTTCAGAACAGCAGCTTCCCGTATGCTCAGAGACAAGGGACCCCACTGCAGCACACTCTAACCCACGGCACGTGGCAGAGGAACTCCTGTCCCACACGCCACGTGCTCCCGGCAGCAAGAAAAGACCCCTGACCCACACATGCCACGTGCGTGGGCGTGAGAGAGACACCAGGCTTAACAAACACACAGCACAGACTAGACTGGGGTCCTGTTCAGAGTTTCAGATGGCTAGCCACATGGGGAGCAACTTGGTCCACGACCAAGTCACCCCCTGCAGACTGGGCGACCCCCCTGGGTTCCCTCACAGATAGAGCAGGCAACTTGGTCCCACCAATTCCCCTCTTACTGTGTGTGCAACCCTGTGCCCCCTGGCCCCCTTTTTACAGACTGCAGAAGTGGCAGTGCAGGTCACTCAGACTGGCACAGTCCCAGCAGCAGCATGGCCCATGGACTAATATGGCCCCAGACCTTGGGCATTCTCAGGAGCCCTGACGTCAGCACAGACCCTGGCTGCATGCTGTACGGCCATGGACCCAGGCACTGCCCTCAGCTGCAGCTCTGGCCTGAAGCCACTGAGGCAGTGGGTAGCAGTTGCAGTCCACTTAGACTTGTATGGCCCCGGCTGCAGCATGGCCCTGAGACTCCAACAAGGCCACAGGTTGTGGCTCAGACCCTGGGCCTCTGTGTGGCCTTTGGTAGCAACATGGACCACAGACTTCAACATAGCCCTCAGCTGTAGTAGGGCCACAGACCCAGACATGGCCCTCCTCAGGGTCAGGTCTGGATGTCACCATGGTCCCAGGTGGCGGTCAAGGCCCCCCAGGTTGGCATGGCCCCAGTGGCAGCGTGGCCCTCGGACACCAACAGGGTTCGAGATAACGGCCCAGAGCCCCGGATCCAATTGGCTCTCAATGGTAACAGGAGCCCTGGATGTTAAAACAGATCCTGGCTGCTGCAGGGCCACAGACTAGACTTGGCCCTTGGCGGCGGCCTAGGCCCAGACATCACCATGGCCCCAGGGTGGCAAGCAGGCCTCTCATGTCAGCCTACCCCTCACCGCCTTCACTCCTTCCATTCCACCTCTCTCCACAGTAAACGGGCCATGGTGCTTCTCTTTCCCTCCCAATTCTCTTCCACACATCTGTTCATCCTAAGGGGACAGAAGTGCCTGGCACCAGGGTGGGCGGTGCATGTCTTCCTGCGGTCTTGAGGGCCCGGGCTGGCCTATGGCGCATTATACCTTAAACACCAATTTGCCTTTTTTATTTCTGTATGAATGTCTCGCCCACGTGTCAGTCTGTGTAGCACTTACGTGGCTGACCCCCCTCGGAGGCCAGAAGCCGGGGACTGGATCCCCTGGAACTGGAACTACAGACCATTGGGAAAGGACATGTGGGGCTGGGAATCAAACCCTGGTCCTCCGGAAGAGCAGCCACTGAGCCATTTCTCCAGCCCAACATTTTGCATTGCTTACTGTGGTGCGAGGGGACTCGTTTTCTTTCTAGCTTTGACCGAATATTTTAATTAGCCTTCTGCAGTTGCTTAGAACGCACTTAATGGTTTTATTGTGGGAGGGATAAGGGAGAACCCTTTCCCCCCGGATTCTCAAAGAATCTGCCTGGGGTGGAGGGTACGGCCGGCTTTTTCTGGGTTTACGGGGTAAAGAGCAATTCAAGCAATTTCCTACGTATGGGAACCCGATGTTTTCACGCAAGAACAGCGTTTTGCTGACAGACACCCTGAAGTCCTAACTAGCCTACCCAGCTGCCTCTAGCAGCTGGCTTGTTTGAGCGGCAGGATGATTCATTTCTCAACAGAAATGAATGTTGGGGAGACGCACACGGACCACTGACGTCTTTACTAGAAAAACAAAACAACCATCAGCCCAGAAATGTCTTTTAGGGATGCTCTTTTATTTGAAAACTTAACATTGGTCCAAGTCAGGACTTAACACACGTGACACTCTCCTGCTTAAACAATCCCGCTATCAAAATTAAACGTTTTCCCCCCCCAGCCCCCACCCCCACTTCACAAAACATATATCTACAGAGAACCTAAGTGGGAAACTTAAAAAAAAGTCAACACAACTTCTTCTACTGATCCTTCGGTAGAAGGAGAGAGAGCTCCCAGGAACTCTTGTCTTCCAATACAATATCGGAGGCACTGATCTCTTAGAGGAGGGTGACACCCCCACCTCACGGTGGAGGCTCTCTTTTTTTTTTTTTGCTGGAAGAACTAACTCATCTT